CCCTCATCTCACAGATGCCCCTGCTGCTCTTGTGGCCGAGGGGCTGATGCCTCCCGCTGCTCCCGCCGTCGTTTGCGGCTCACGGGGCACGTCCAAAGCCTTCAGTAATAAATACAAACAGCGGCTGGTGGGGGAACATCAGTTTAAACCCGAGGCTCTAAACCACGCCTTTCTCGGTGCATCGTACTAGTAACATCTGCAGGTAATTTCCAAAGCACAGAACAAATCTTAAAAGGCACTTTTTGCCTGTTTACTGTTCGTATTTTTCATTTTGGGCGGAGTGAGCCGGTTTCACTTTCACTTCTCGGATTTGCAGCCCTTCAAACGGTAGAGGACATTTATTTAAAGCGTTCATAAGCAAAATAGTAAGTGTGAGTTGGAGTCAGAAAGTAGTGTTGATGCATTAAATTAGGCTTCCTTTTGGAAGGGCTTTGTGGTTGATTTCTGTGGAGGAAAAAAAGCTTATTGGTGAGGTGTAGAGTCTGAACGTGGTGTTACAATATGGTGAAAATAAGGCTTTTACCTTTTTATAGTCAACACACTCTTTTACTCCAAGGCAGTTTTGCAGTCTGTATTTATGTTCTCTAACAGTGTGACTTTATCTAGACTATAGTTCTAGCCTAGAGTCTCGACTAGATTACACATGTAGCTCTGCAGACTGCTCCTCAGAGACTTGTGTGATTTCAGTGGGACTCCACTTAGGTGAAACAGTCTGCAGACTAAGTTTCTTCCTGTAGTTGAAGGTGAGAGATAGCAGGTGATAAGGACAGAACGTAAATCTTGCAAAGTGAAATAGATTTTTAAGAACAACTTCACTATTAAGCTCAACAACAAATGGTACAGATTTAATTAACCAAATAAGACTTTATTTTGGTTTTGTTTAGTGAATTTTCATACAGGTAGATTTGTACTTCCATAGGAGCCATGTTAACTTCTGTGCGCCCTGGCACATTTTTTAACATGCATTCCTCACTGAAATCTATTTCCTGATTGCTTTTTTTCCTCAATAGGTTCTTTGCTTCCCCTTTAAGCCTCAAAAGTATTTCAGTTTATTTGTCTGTTTTGTTCACGTTTGACAGCAGAGCTGGAATCACAAAGATAATCTCTTACAAGTTTTGTGAAAATCAGTGGCTGTGGGAAGGAGAGGGCTTAAGTTAATATCTCCAGTAAGGAATAGGCAGTTATGTTCATCACTTTGTCTATTCAAGAAACGTCAGACAAATGATGCCCATGATAGCCATTGGTGTTTATTACTAGCAATGTCATGTGCTTGCAGTGTTATATTTTGGTTTGCTGTGGGTATCAAACATGATGCTCTTCCATTCTGCGGTCACAGTCCCCTGGAAAAGGATATGTGAATGGTAAACCAGGGGTGAATTGTAAGCCATCTCATCTTACAAATATAATTTCAGAACCCTGACAGTAGGGGGAAAAACTGATTGTGCTGAAAAACCCACAAGTCCTGTCTGTTTCGATTTGAAGTTACTGTACAGAATTATCTGCTTGGATACTAACAAATATTACATTTTCAGAGTAGGAGACTGCAAAACTTTGTCGTTGTTTGACATTTTCATCAGAGATCTGAATAAAGGCCTGGGAGCCAAGGCTTCTGAGTTGCCACCTACGTCATGGACCAGCGGGCGTAACTACAGCTTTTTATCCTGAATGCAGAACATTGCCCAAACATAGCTTTATACTCTCCAGGTGCACAACCTGAAAAGCAGCCAAAAAGAAACTGGTACTCCAAAGTGCCGTTCTTATGGACAGGCTCTGTGTTCCTTGGCAGATAGTACAAAATGTGGGATTAGGGCGCTAATTTAAGGTGCTCAGTCTTGGCTCTCTATAGTAGAGAGTAGTGGAGAGAAGCAGGTATTGCTAAAGGGCAGTTCCTCCTGCCTATCTGAGGTGCTGCCCAGTGTGTAAGATAGCTTTAGAGTCATGCTGCTGCTTTTTCATACGGGATGCGTAAAGTTGTCAAAAGGTGTATTAACATCATATTTCCTAACTTTTGTTTGTTCCTGTATCAGTATTAGTGGGACTGAAAAAGGAGTCTAAAAACAGAGAATCTTCACAACATCTTGCATCTGCAGGATTGTGTCTCTGGACTGATGTCAGTTCAGAGTTCAAGCAACATAATCTCATTACTTTTAAAATTATAATTTGGCTTTGTGAAATAAGTCAAGATGGAAGAGAGATTTAAGGCTGCTGAAAAAAAAATCATGAAAATGTAGTTTGCATGCAGGTTACAGAAGGCAAAAGTCACCAGCCATGAATATTGCTGTCCTCTTAGAGTTGGAGAAAAACAGAGCACAGGGACCAGGCCCTCATTTCAGGGGAATTCTGTTTTATTACAAATGTATAGTTAATTTACTTAAAATATATGGCATTTATTCTAAACTAAAGTGTAGGAAATATTAGCATCAATTAGTTAAATGAAGAATTAAGAACTTTTTGCTTTATTATCTAGGACTCTGTTGTTCATGCAGTGTCAGGACAAAAGGTTGGATAGATAATCTGATGTAGCCCCTACTTCTAGAGACTGATTCACACTTAGGGCTACTGTAATATGAAGTACATTTGGTCTTGTTTGACATGAATATAATGTTCTTCCTCTGAAGACTTTGTTGAAGGGAATACATATGGAATACATATGGCTGCCTCTGTAGCATAGGACCTTATGGAAAGTCGGGAAAGTCTTTTAGCTGATGAGAGTATGACTTGTGAGATAGATGGTGACTTACATGTCTGGTAATTAGGCTAGAAAAGATTGTCTCCTGTCTTACTATAATGCTTCATTTTTCCGATAGCAAACTATTTTCTCCAAGCTATGAGACTTTATCCTCTGCTTTCAGTAATCGTTTTTCCCATTAGGGCTGCCTGCAAGCTTGCTGTAAAGTGCCTCTAGTTTTAGCATGAGTGAATTTAGGGAACACACCCAGTCACGTCCAGATACAGGCTGGCTCTTTCTGGTGAGAGACCAAGACAAGTGTTTGTGCGTAGCTTGCCAGGAATACCTCTTGGAGGAGAGTGGAGTCTGCAAACAAGCAATCTCAAAAAGGTACAGAAGTCAAATGTGTTGTGTTCTGTACTTTCAGACCAAAGGATAAGTCTTGAAAACATGATTCCTGCAACTGTTCACACTGTCCTGAGTGCTCTGTATTTATGCTGCCACAGAAAGAACTGGTTGCACTCAGAGGAGAAACACCAGAAACACTAAGGACTGAAATGCGCTTGCAGCTAAAGTATCCTCATCATGAATAGGTACACAACTATCAGACAGCTTGGTGATGGGACCTACGGCTCTGTCCTCCTAGGGAGAAGCATTGAATCTGGAGAGCTAATAGCAATTAAAAAGTAAGTATTTTTGTTTGTTACTTAACAGTGAATGGTCCAGGTTTTTCCGTTCTATGGTCTGCATCACTTGGTCATTCTGCTTTGGGTACTTTGTGTTCCACTCATTTGTGTTTGGAGTTGCATTGGGACAGTATGCAAAGGTCAAGTTGCTTCTGTCTTCCAAAGCCCCAGCAGAAGATCAAGCAGGTGAGATATGCAGGCTTATTGTAGTAGTGCTCTGCTGCTACCTGCAAACATGTATTATTTATATGATTTAAAATATTCTGGAGTGCTGCTTTGGAATCTGCATCCCCTTCCCTGCTGCTTACGTGGAACATAAATTTCATTGTCTGATTTCCAGTGTAAAGCTAATACTGCAGTGGTAATTAATAGAATGGGTATCATTGTCCATTATCTGTATCTTTATATGCTACATATTGGTCTTTTCAGCTTAAGATTTTCTTAAAATTCCTTGAGAAATCCACTTGATTTTCTGTGCTGCTTCAGCAGTGACCTCAGTTTGTAAATGGCTTATTTGTCCTAGTTGTGGTAAGAGACAGCTATAAAGCATTGTGGGCACCTTCCTGAAATACCGACCATGACCCAAGGACACATTTGTCAACAGAGCTTTCAGTACAATGCTGTTTTGTTTGAACAGTCAATAGCTGGCTTTAACAACTTTACGAATCCTCTGCGCTGAGGATATTTTTCCTGTATCAAACCTTGACAGAGACACCTTTGATTTTCATTTTGCAACATGGAGAAAACGCAAAAGTTTCAGAACAAACCAGAAGATAGTACTCTCGTGGCTTACAAGTTAATGCCAATCTGTTATTAAAAACAGAAATGGCTTGGTGGCTTAATGCACAGGACAGTAACTGCAAAAACACTGCTTCAACAAACAAAAACCCCTGAAATCCAGTCCCCTTAATGAAGTGAAAGGCTTGTAGTTCTTCAGCTATTCTAATTATAAGAGCTCATTTTAAACTGGAAGCTTACTGCAATAATTTGTAATACTGAATTATTATTAAAGTCTGACAAAGGCTCAGATCTTCAAAGGGTACGTAAGTCCCTCTGAAATCCAGACTCTAAGCAGTTGGGCATTTTTGTGAGTTTAGTCTGTGCTCTTGTGTGTGTCCATGTGAGCCTTTGTCCTATTGGTCCTAAAGCATAGAATTATGTGTGAAGGAACTGAGTCATAGTCAAGATGCACATGAACAAATAGAACCATACGTTACATACAAATGCTATAGTCGGAGTCACTAGCTTAGGAGAAAACAGATCTTCCACACCATTTGTTCCTGTTAGAGCAGAGTTGCTTGAAAGGAAAAGCAGAATTTGAAAAACAGTTGGCATGATAGATACAACGTGCAAGGAAGAGAAAAAAACATGGGGAGTGGTGCACACTGAAAAATGAAGAAGTACAACTTAGGAGGGGAAAAGTATTGAAATTACAGAGAAATTAAAATGTAGAGAAAAGGAGGAAGAAGAACATGATAAAATTTGTGACCTGACGAAGTGCTTTAATTTGGCCTTCATTAGATTTGTTTCAAAACTTAGACTAAGCTGTTCATAACTGTTGTAATCCTTGTTCTTTTTACAGTTAGACTCTAGCACATTGTAGAAAAATAGGAAAAATAGGAAATAAAAACAGCACGCCCTGGCTTGTTGAAGGCTCTATATATCTTTGTAGGAAGATATATATATATGGAAAAAGGCAATTCTGTGTAATAGTAATGCTTTTAAAATGTGTTAGAGTGTACCTTGTCTGGAGAAGTAAGGTTTTTTGACAAAGGAGGTAACACCTTATACTTTGGTGGAAGAACTGAATTGTTAAGATGTAGTGAGACTTCTGTGTCTAAGACCAGCTGATGTTCACCATGTATTGTTTTTTGTCTACTAATGTAGAATGAAGAGAAAGTTTTATTCCTGGGAGGAATGCATGAACCTTCGAGAGGTTAAGGTACTTGTTTCATTCATGGTTGACCTTAAATTAGATGATCTCTTGTTATGTTTTGGGCTAATATCAAATTCTTTCCACCCCTTTTATCAAGAACTTCACCTAATATGAACTGTGGCATATGGTATTATGGTTCTGTTTGCTGGCTCTGCATTTTTACAGGGTGTCTGTAGTCTTATAAAAATTCTTATGAAGATTCTGTAGTCTTACAATAAATCATTTGGTTGTAGAGAGCTGCTTCCTCATTGCAGTGGTGGTGAGTGAGAGAGCGAGCTTTCCTGTCACAAAACCTGGAGTTGTTTTGTGTTTGTTTTTCAGAGCTTCAGAATATGTGCCCTTTGCTCAGCAGTAACCTTTGTACACCCAGTTATTTCTGCGTAGTTGGTTTGAGGACAGACATTTAGCATGAAGTTCTGACAGCAGCAAAACTTTCAGAGTGTTTCTAAGGACCTTCCTTAATTTCTAGTCCTTGCAATCACTGTTGCAAACATGCAGAAAACCTATGTCACCTTACTTACAGTGAATGAGCTCAACTGGCTACCAGAGTTATTTGGTAATACTTGGAGTTCTGGTCTTTGTTCTCAGAGCTCTCTGATTATTTACAGTATTGCAGAATTTTTGAATCCAAGTCTTCTGAATCAGTGAAATAGCTTTTTCTTTTTCATTGGAGTAAGATCCTTGTAAATCCTGTTTGTATTTTCTGTTTCTAGTCTTTGAAGAAATTAAACCATGCCAATGTAGTAAAGCTGAAAGAAGTTATCAGGGAAAATGATCATCTGTATTTTGTGTTTGAATACATGAAGGAAAATCTTTATCAGTTAATGAAAGAAAGGTATGTAACAGCGTCACCCATTCCTGATATAAATTAATTACTTGCATAATGTGCTTTTAACACCACTGTTACATTTCAAAGGATTTTGGATCATCTGTCTAAGCTTAAATTACTCTGGCTTAAAGCTGTATGCTGCAGTAGAAGCTCTGCCTGTCACCACTGAGCATATCCCAGACAGTTTAGTGAGAGTTTCCAGTGTCTCTTCCCAGATTAGCCTGGCACATAAGTAGGGTGCTCTTTTGAGAATTAGAAATGGTAGACTTTTAACAGCCCTCATGCTGAGGAGTTCTGGAACCTAGAATGGGATTTCCAGGGAAGTATTCGAACCAGCAATGCTTTTTCTATTAGAGGGTGGTATAAATAAATGAATAAATAAAAAGCAGTTGAAATGGTGCTGATTTTTAATTCAATGAAATGATGAACCTTGAGAAAATTGTTCAAGTGTGTAACGTACAGACCAATTATCTTTAGGAATTTCTTAGAAATGCTTGATATATCCTACCTCCTTATGAAAACAAAAAAAGTAGATGTCTGTAAAAGTGCGCTACACATGATGTTCTCTACAGCTTAGCTAGGCCTTGGACTGTTTAGACATTGTATAAATCAAACCTTTAAGGATGTGATTTATTAGTTAAAATTGGCAGTCTTGCTGGAAGGGACTGTAGAGGAAATACAACTCTTTTCCTGCTGTAATTTAAAAAATAAGCAAGGAAATATGAAAAGCTGACTCTAGTAGCTGATCTCACTTCTGAAATATGTGATGGTCAGGTTGAGCGGAATAAAGCTCAGGAAATTGAATAAGGCCCAGGCCGTCTTCTTCATGAACTGTCAGGTTCTTTCTGAATAGAATTGCCACTGATTTCCACCCCAGCCCATCTGCTGTGTTTTGGCATGCAGAGGGGCAGCTGGTTCAGAGCTGTTTGATCAGAATCCTCTCTTAGTAAGAGAGGCTGTTGTTAAACCATCTGCCATGGCTGATTTTCTTACCTGAATATTATGAGGAGAAGAACCTCTTGTTTCCAGTGACAGGAGATGAGGTTGTTTTTTCAGATAACAGGAGAGAAGTAGCACCTCAGCTGTTACATAATGACAAGGTAAAGTCAAAAGTATGGGTTGTGTGTGGTGTAGAAGAGAGGCCAGAAGAAACTGTGCGTGGCACTAAATCAGCATGAACCCTTGGCGTTTTGAGGAGCATGTTTGATGAGCTATACAGGTTAAGTAAGGGTTGTTCAGTTTGACAAATTTTCTTTTTTTTCTCCATTTTCTACTTCAGTGTCCCACATAGTCTTAACACAATATCACGTAGTCTTATAATGTAATATGGCAGTTCTGAAAATGCTGTGTAAATTTTATTGGAGAAATAAACTACATGACAGTGCTTAAACTATGTCTAACATTTTTATTGTCATTGTTACCTCTTATCTTTGGTTCATTAAATGGCATAAGGTAATGTGTGAACTTAATAATTATTATTTATTTCTTCACTTTTCTTTTGTCCCACAGAAACAAACTTTTTCCTGAGTCTACGGTTAGGAATATTATGTATCAGATCCTTCAAGGGCTTGCATTTATCCATAAGCATGGTAGGTTATGTTTTAGCTGTAAACATTTTGAATTAGAGCAAGGTAGTGTCTGTGTAAGTTTTCTAATGAGTACACTAACAATTACATTACTAACTTTAGTAAAGGGAGTGATCAAAAGAATGGCACTATATGAGAAATTCAGATTACTGAAAATATCCGTACGTTATAGTTGCCTGATATTTTAGTCTGGAGGTTTGCTCAGTTCCTTTTCTGTAGATTTCTACTTTTTCATACTGGTAGCTGGCCACTTTCTAAAAGTCATCTGATGTTAATGGGCACATTTCTGGGTAGAATTAGAGGTCCCATGAGACTGAGAGTAAAGGAAAAATTACTCTTCTCAAGGTATACACAGATGCTTGAATAAAATGCACATTCCCTGTAAGATACACTTAATAAAGTCTGAGTGACAAACAGCTTTCATTGCATGGCCTTCCAACTAATTTTTACAATAATGATAAAAGCTAAAGTTGATGTACCAGCCAGTAGTCACAAGACCCACTTAACTAATAAAAAAATTACTTACTACTTACCATGTTTTGCTGTCCTCTGCAATTCTGCCTGCTAAATACATGTTGCTGGTCAGCTCTCAGGGTTATCAGAAGAGAACTAACATCAGTGGCCAAAGTCCTGGAAGGGAAAAGCTTGTAGGGCCAGCATTTCAGTTCACTTGAAGAACACATTTAACTTTGTTTTGCAAAACATTTTCAAGTTAGTAGTTTTATTCTCTGTTCTAATGGGGCTTGGATACACTTCTGAAACCAGACTAGAATTTCTAGTTTGTTCCAGTGAGGTACAAAATAATTTTAAACCAGAAAAATAATATGGTCTATTTACAAAAATCTAAGCCACCTTATTTTAATGAATTGTCAAATGTATCACAACCTTTCAGAATACCTTTTACTGCTATTTAACTTACTATAGCCATGAAGAATGAATAATTCAGTTTCAAAACTCTTATTCACTGACCTACTACACTCTAGACTGGTATTTCTGGCAAGATGTTGCAAATCCATATTTAAAAAGTTCTGGAAATTCATGGCAAGCTTGACAGTATGGTCTTGATGGTCTTGTGGCCCACAGTGTAAGACTGGGTGTCCCAAGATTCCCTCTGCAACGGTTTTGGAAAAATCGCATGAACTTTTTTACCCTCTCTCTATTTCTCTGTTCTGTTCCAATATGGCTTAGAAATGCTTGTCAAGTAAACTTTTTATGTTCTTTGTCCATCCAAACTCTAAGCATCATTTCATATCTGAATAAACAATTGATTGGCCTTTTTAGAAGTTGGCCGTAAAATAAATTGCTTCAAAAGCATTCTGTTGGTGCGCTGCATGTCAGCATGTCAGCAAAATACAGAAGTGATTGTACTAAATGCTGAAAACAACCTTGGTTGCTCTGTCTGGTGTCTTCCATAAAGAGACAGTGGTTCAAGCTGGCGCCAGAAAATATGCTTAATATCCCTAGAAAGGATGTAATTTGCTGATTAATAAAAATCTACAGCACTATGTCTTCAATGATCATCTGCATTAATATAGTTATACTGGACAACGTCAACACATCCTATGTGAATGTTTATTCTGCTCTCTATGGGAGCATATTCAAGGCTGTGGAAATAACTAAGCACTTTGGAAGGTCTCTGAAAAGAAGGTCAAAGAGCTCTAGTAAGGTACTACAGAGGGAGCCATGTGTAGGAAACGGCGATCTCAGATGCCTGCAAAAAAGAAGCATAAGGACAAGTTTTCCAGACTAAGAGTGGAAGCAAATTTCAGAGGCAGTAGTCAGTAATATTCTAGCCCTCTTCTCTCATTTGTATTGGGAGTGCTCTTGCCCAATACTCATTTGTGGTCAAGTTTTGCTGACTGCAGAGAGCACTAAAAAATATGCTGTCTGATGCGGTGATGTGTAACTGAGTGCTCACAGATTATGTTCTTGTATTTAAAAAGCAGCTTCAGAACGAAAAAAAAAACCAAAACCAAAACCCAACTCATTTTTTAATCTGTATTCTGTTTAAAAGAAGTTTTGATGTAATTTTTTAATCTTTATTGCACAGTTTCCAACACAATTAGAATGAAACTGACATTGTGGTGTACATTATTTTTCTGTTAAAGTGTCACTTGAAAAGGAGCTCTCTGACTGAATGCTCTGAATTATTATAAGTATTATTGTATATTACTTGTGTATACTGTTCTTCACAGTCTGACTGAACAACCATTATACTGACTAGTTCTATTGATCACATAAGACTTTGAATTTGTTGTGCTATGCAAGCTTCAGCAATAAGAGGTAAAGCAAAACAGTCCTGGTGGAAAATAAAGGCTACAGGTGAGGGTGGCATTGCAAAGTGCATCAATATTTCGTTTGAATTTTAGGGTTCTTTCACAGAGACTTGAAACCTGAAAACCTCCTCTGTATGGGACCAGAACTTGTGAAAATAGCAGACTTTGGCTTAGCCCGAGAAATCCGCTCTAGACCTCCTTACACTGATTATGTATCCACAAGATGGTAAGTGCTACTATTCACTTACTTTGTGTGAAACTTACAACCAAGCCTTTAAAGTATTAAATTCGTGCTGAAGGGAATACCGCTTTCGATGTCTCCTCTATGAAGCTTTTATTTAAGCTTGGCATAAGGTGAAAAGCTTCAGTTAATGCATGACAGTTTACAGATGGCAGCAGCACAGGAACTAAGAGGGAGCTTGATAAAGCAGGTGGGACATGCTGGGACTGCTGCATGTCTGGAAGGCATAAGAGAGCTTACATGAGCTTATGTAGGTTTTAGTTCTCAATTCTAGAAAAAAAAAAAA